CGCCCCCGGAGCTCTGGGGCTCAGGGGTCCCCTTTTCCTCCCAGCGTCGCGGCCGACTTGGACTCGGGAGCAGAGTCTGTCCCGGACCCCGTCACTGACGAGGAGCAGGAAGAGGCCGAGCGGGATCTGAGGCTGCCCGGGGCAGCCGTGGAGGAGCTGCCGGGCCCGGCTGGGCAGGGTAGGATGGAGCGGGGGTGGCCGGGGATGGAGCAGCTCCCCCGGGACACGAGGCTGCAGCCCCGCTCGCTGTTCACAGGCGCTGCAGAGGAGCTGTGGGACAGTGGCAGCGCCCTGGGCACCCCCCTGGACGCCCCCCTGGGCACCCCTGCTGTCCCTGAACTCTCTGGCACAGAGCGGAGCCCCAAGGCAGCAGGGGCAGCAGAGCCCGGCCCTGCAGAGGTGAGAGCTGGGGGTCTCAGGGGTTCCCCTTGAGCCCCTGCTGTGGGTGTGTGAATTGGGGTCCCTGCGGGGGTCCCTATGGCTGCGGTGCTGCTGCTGGGGGGGCTCAGCAAACACTGCCCTGCACTGTCACTAAAATCTCCCCTGTCTCCCCACCCAGGGCAGCCCCAGCACGGGACGGAGACCTAAAGGTGAGCAGAGCTAAAGGTGAGCAGAGCCCTGCCAGGCTGGGCTGGTGGGGCTGGGGGCTGTCCTGGGGGGCTCTGCTCCCCCTGTCCTGCCCGGGGGTCTCTGCTCCCCCTGCTCTGCCCTGTCCTGGGGTCTCAGCTCCCCCTGTCCTGCCCGGGGGTCTCTGCTCCCCCTGTCCTGCCCTGTCCTGGCGTCTCTGCTCCCCCTGCCCTGCCCGGGGGTCTCTGCTCCCCCTGCCCTGACCCCGGGCCCTGGTGCAGGCGTGGCCACCCGGCTGAGCCGCCGGCGGGTGTCGTGCCGGGACCTGGGCCGGGCGGATTGTGACGGGTGGCTCCTCAAGAAGAAGGAGCACGTGGGATTCATGGCCCAGAAGTGGAAGCGCTGCTGGGTGGTGCTCAAGGGCCACACGCTCTACTGGTACAGCCACCCCAACGTGAGTGGGGGCACGGGGTGGCCCTGGGCAGCTGGCACCTCCTGGGGCAGTGCCCACAGGGCTGTCCCTGTCCCCGCAGGATGAGAGGGCTGCAGGACTCATCAATGTGGCCACCTACAACCTGGAGAGCACCAGGGAGCAGAAGAAGAAATAGTGAGTGGGGTGTGTCCTGCTGGGAACCACCTGCGTGTCCCCACGGGGCCATTGGGGTCCCCACACTCTGAGCAAGGCCTGCACTGTATTCCTGGGGTTATCTGGGACTGTAGCTGGGCTGGGGGCTCCCCTGTGTCCCCACAGCAGCACAGCAGCCACCCCCCTGTCCCCAGCGTGTTCCAGCTGTGCCACCAGACGTACAAACCCTTTGTGTTTGCTGCTGAAACCCTGGCTGACCTGAGCATGTGAGTAACAGAGCCAAGGGCCAGCACTGGCCCCAGCGCCCCGGGCTGGCCAGGAGCCCCCTGGCCCTGCTGTCCCTGCTGTCCCTCCCCAGGTGGGTCAGTCACCTGGTGACAGCCAAGACAAAGCACACACTGGCCCGGCAGGCAGTCCCAGACAAGGAGGAAGGTGAGGAGGCCACCCCGGGCTGGGGTCGGTGGGAGGGGGTCCCCATGGGGTAGGGACACTTGGAGGATGCGGGGGGATGTGACAAACGCTCCCCGAGGGGTGGCTGGGATGATTCTCAGCCCTGGGAGGGGATTTCTGTCTGCTGCCGTGGCCTCCAGACTGCTACAGTGAGACAGAAGCTGAGGACCCCGACGATGAGGCCCCCAGGCACGGATCTGACTCGGTGAGTGGCCCTGGGGGACACCCTGGGACAGAGGGACAGAGTTCCTTGTGTCACCTGCTGCCCATCTCTCCCCCAGGCAAGGAAGAGGCTGCAGAACACCCAGGAGAAGGCACAGCTCTCCCCAGGCAGCAGCCCCCAGGGCAGCCCCCGGCCCTGCTCTCCCTTGGGTAGGTGCAGGGGGGGACATCTGACCCTCTGTCACCTTGTGTCCCTCCTTCCCTCCCTTCTGGGTGTGCTGGGGGAACTGCAGCTGGGGTGTGTTTGGCTGTGAACTATCTCGGGATGAAGGAGCCTGCAGGAAAGATGGAGAGGGATTTTTTATGAGGGCACAGAGTGGCAGGGCAAAGGGGGATGGATTTAAAATAAAAATGTTAGGTTTAGGTTTGTTTAGAAGGAGTTGGTTTAGATTGGTTCAGGAGTTGGTTTAGATTGGTTTAGGAGGAGCTGGTTTAGATTGGTTCAGAAGGAGCTGGTTTAGATTGGTTTAGAAGGAGTTGGTTTAGATTGGTTCAGGAGTTGGTTTAGATTGGTTTAGAAGGACAATCTTTCCTGTGTGAGTGGGCAGGCCCTGGCACAGGGTGCCCTGGACCCCTGGCAGCGCCCAAGGCCAGGCTGGATGGAGCTTGGAGCACCTTGGGACAGTTTGAGGTGTCCCTGCCATGGCAGTATGGAACAAGATGATCTTTAAGGTCCCTTCCGAGCCAAACCACTCCACGACCCCACTCCTCCGGGGCACCGCGGGGTCCGGGCGCTGCCCTCCTGCTGCATTGCCCTGTCCTGCGCAGAGCCCGGCGGGGAGGAGGACCTGGCGAGCCTGGCGCGGTGCCTGCGGCAGGGCGGGGTGTCCCTGACGGGGCAGCGGCGGGTCCTGACACAGGAGCAGTGCCGAAAGTCCTTCCTGCGGCGCAACAGGAACCCGCACATCAACGAGCGGGTGCACGCCGTGCGGGCCCTGCAGAGCACGCTCAAGGTGCGGCCCCGAGCCCCCCGAGCCCCCCGAGCCCCCTGCCCACGGCTGGCCCCCCAAAACGTGCGGTGTCGCCCCGGGCAGGCGAAGCTGGCGGAGCTGCAGGCGCTGGAGCAGCTGCTGGGAGAGGCGGCGCTCACCTCGGACACCTTCAGGCGCTGGAAGGAGGAGCACCAGGAGCTGTACCAGGAGCTGCGGGAGGGCTGGGCAGGGCAGCAGGGCCAGGGCGGTGCTGGAGGGCAGCACAGCCCCCAGGGAGAGGCGGCTGAGCCCTGACACCCAGCGGCCCTGCCCTGGCTCGGTGCCCAGCACGGTGGGTCTGAACACGTTCTGGAAGGCTCAGCCCCCAGAGGATCCATCTAATTCCTTAATTTTAAGTGACAGTCTTAATTTTTCCTTGCCTGCAGCTCGGCAAGGAGGGGATTTTGAGCGCCCGCTGTGGCGCTGCCAGCCGGCCCAGCCATGGGCTCTTCTGCTGTAAATAAACGTGTGGACAGGGCCTGGTCCTGCCGTGGTTTTTCTTGGCGCTGAAACCATCAAATCATGGCATTGTATAGGCTGGAAGAGACCTCCGAGATCATCGCGTCCAGCTGTAAACCTGGCATTGCCGCGTTCACCACTAAACCAAGCGCCATATCCCCATGTTTTTGAACACTCCCAGGCATGGTGACTCAACCTCTGCCCTGGGCAGGCTGTGCCAGTGCCTGACCACCTTTTCCATGGAGAAATGCCTCCTGACGTCCAACCTCACCCGCCCCTGCTGCAGCCTGAGGCGGTTTCCTCTCGTCCTGTCGCTCCCCTAGCAGGCGATCCAGAGGCGCCCCCGATCCTCCATTTCCATTTCCCCGGGCTGAGCCCCCCCCAGCGCCCGCCCTACGGGTGCCGCCCGCGGCCACTCTTCCCCCGCCAGAGCCCTTCGCGGCGGGGGCGGGGACAGCGTTCAGACATACCAATGAGGCACCGTTAGGGGCGGGGTCAGAATATTCGATTGGTTGATACGCAGTGAAGCCACGCCCCCTACGCTGTGCCACGCCCCTCCCGGCGGAGGTAACGGTCGCGGCGCGCGGAGGTGGCGGGAGCGGCGGCGGTGGCGGCGGCAGGTGAGAGACAGAGCCCGGTATCGGTATCGGTACCGGCCCTGAGCCGCACCCGCACGGTACCGACACCGGGCACCGGCAGCGCTGCTGCCACACCGGCTCCGCACCCTGGACCCTCCCGCCCGTCCGGGACCGGTCTCTCCGCTCCTCGTGACCGCCCCTCCGGGACCGGGCGCACAGGACCCACACCCCCTCCCCGCCGCCTCTAAATCAGGTGCTGAGCCCCCAGACCCACCGGGGGCTCCTCAGGATCTGCCCCTCCCCAGCCGACCCTCACGGACCGGGATCTCCATCCCGTCAGAAATTGATCTAAAATGATATATGCCTAAATTAACCACGCCTAAATTAACCACGCCTAAATTAACCACGCCTAAATTAACCATAATGAGCACTGCATTTATGTACAAGCGTTTCGTTTCTTTGCTGAGTAAAATGCTGTTTCTGGTTCGTTACCCTGTTGTATTCCCAATGTTTCTGTTAGTTTGTAGCATCTGTGTATATGAACGTTTTCTAGGAATGAATTTCTTATCTGGGCTCTTTCAATCAGTTTAACAAAAATCTGTAACAGCTGCTGAGCGAGGATTGAGTATGGGTTTGTAGAGGCCTTGAATTTCCAGCGTGTAATTTGTAAATTGCACTTGCATTATCAGAGACAGGAAATTCACTGAGTGAAGCACTCAGAGAAATAGAGAAATTAACCCAAAACTCTGGGCAGATGAAGATTGCCATTCATGGCACAGAAAGGCTGATTTTTGAAGGACTTCTTTCCTCATGTAGTTGCTCAGTGACCTCTACAGAGGGCAGAAATGATCTGGTTGAGAGTTGAGACTTTTAAAGAGAAATTTTTAATCTCTGTAGACACAGATAACAGCTGGTAGGTGCTGCTGATTACCTGGAAGATGGTGCAAACAGGCATAAAGATAATCTACAAGAGTTTGTTTGGGTTGTTTTTTTTAAGTGTTGCTGCAGGGAAAAACCAGATATTATTGGGAGAAGAAGCTAATTAAATACCAAATGCTGTGTTATTCTGATGAGTAGCTGCTGTGTTGGTTAGTGGGAATGGGGCGTGGATTATACTCACTTAAAATAAGATTTTTATTCATTTATCCAGTTCTCTAGGTAGATAAGATGGCTGCTCCTGAGAAAGATCCAGACCTGAGGCTGCTGCAGAAGAATCCCTTGGGTAAGGACAGTCCTTTCTCCAAAACCCTGCTGCTGTCAGATCCTGTTTCACTTTCTCTGAGGAGGCACATGGCCCTCAGAAGATTCTCTACCAGAAGCTTTTTATTCAAAAAAAAGTCTTATTTTCTCCCCTTGCCTGCTTTTTCAGCAGTCATTTGGTAAGGAATTTCTCCCTTAAGCTGATAGCTGGTGAATCTGGGAGAGTTCTTTAGAGTTAATGCAGAAATATCTCTTTAACTTGCCCAGTGCTGCTGCCCCTTTTAGTCAGAGCAGTTAGTTTAGCTGGGTGTACCATGACCAAACTAATCAATGGGAATATAATTTACAGCTTCTGCATCCTGACTTCCTTACCAAGGTTGTCTTTCAGTCTCCTGTTGATATTATTTCACTTCCCTGTGCTTCCTGCCATTTCCTTTAGCAAAATATATTTTTTAACAGGAACTCAGGGAGCGAAGCAAGGACCAGCTTGGGGTTTGGAGGCCCTGGTAATTACGTATGGCTTCATTAAGGGATAAATATCCCTGTGTTTTTCCCCTGCAGACCCCAGCAGCTGTCAGCAGAGCCGCTTCCTGGAGGGCGAGTGGAAGGCAGCCATGGTGTCCCTGAGGTCCCTGAGCCGCTGCCCCAGCGTGGCCGAGAGCAGGGACGGGGGCATTGGCACCTCCTGCTCGGACAGCACCGAGGGTGAGGGGCACCCCTGGCACAGTTCTGCAGCTGTTTCCACCCCAGCTGGCTGGGCTGTGACCGAGGGAGGCGTGTGTCACATTGACAGTTTCCCTGAGCTCGGTTATTGTCTCACTGCAGGGCTTTTAACGGGCCAAAGGCCACCTTGGTGACTTGCTGCTTCTTATTGTCCAGTGACAGATTTATCAGCAAGGCTCTTGGGTGATTTCATTTTTTTTTTTGTGCCTTTGTGTTTGGCTCTGCAGCGTCAGAGCTGAGAACTCTGCAGCCTGGCCTTCAGCTGAGGCACGCTCTGTGAAATTTCTGGTTCCAGCAATCCCTTCCACCTGTTTTTTTTTAACTTTTATTGATTCTGTGCTCAGTAATGAGGGAGTTTGTGGTGTTCCTTAAAACACTTCACACATCCCTGTGTTCCGGGGAGCCTTTGGAATGAGATTGGCATTTGGAATGATTATTAAGATTGTGGATGTCAGTAATGTGGCAGTGAAGTGGAGGCTTTAGCAGCTCTGGCTGTTGGAAGTCCTGCTGGAGACATTCATTACACGAGCACATGTTGAAGTGTTCCATCAGGCCTCTCTCAGGATGATAAAGCACCATTTGGCAGCTGGGGGCAGGGGAGATGATTTCCTTAGGGAAATGTCCCCTCTGGGCTCTGGTGACGGCACAGCCGAGGGTGACCCACAGGCCTGGCTGCTGCTGGGCACGCTGAGCTCAGAACATCATCAGAAATGTTGTTGTGAGGGCCCTCAGCACACTCAGGGAGCTGATTGCAGCACCCCCCACGTGTGGTGCTGCTCAGGGACCTCGGGTTCCTGGCAGTGGCACCAGGGGATAAATTTAGGGGCTGTAAAAGGAAATGGTGCTGTCCCTTCCCTGTGCCAAGGTGAATGCCCAGTAGCATGGTGTTCTCTGGAGTGCTGAGAGATTTTCTGCCCTCACTGCTCATTTGTGATGAAAGGATTGAGTGCCTTTATTGTGACAGTTCTCAGTATTTCACTTCCCTGTGCTTCCTGCCATTTCCTTTAGCGTGGTTTTGGTGTTTTCAGAGTCTGATCTGGGCTGTATTCAAATTGTAGTGTTTATTCATTGTTGTAGCAGTGCTTGGAGGGTACAAACAGGTGTGAGTTGTTGGAGCATCACGCGGGGATGGGCCTTGGGCCAAAGCCATGAGGAAATCAAGTGTGTGTTGCTGGGACAAACCTGGAGTTCCTGCGACACAGAACGTCTCGGGACAGCAGTGGGAGCACACACTTTGCTGTTTGCCTTTCTCAGCCCTTGCTGTCGCTGTATTGAAATCTGAGAGCTGCTAAGAATAACCCAAGTTGCCCGCAGCCAGGTTTGGTGCCCCGCTGGCAGGACAGGGGCTCTGTCTCACTTCCTGTGGCCGTAGGTGAGAGCCATTGCTCTGCTCTGGGACAGGCTCTGCCGTGGCGGTGTCCTGGAGGAGCTGGAAGGTCAGATCCTCGGGGCCAGCGATGCTGCAGGCTCATCATGGGCTCAGGGAAGGCTCCTGTTAGCTCTGCTCACCCTTTGGAGTCGCTGAGCTGTGGGACGGGCAGAGCAGGATCGCGGGCTCAGTGTTCAGATCTGTAAGTTTCAGCCTTTTTATCCAGTATCAAGGACTTGACTTCTAAACCTAGAGAAAGATAACATTGAGTCAAGATTATGCTAGAGTAGCTTAAAAACAAGGATTAAAAATAGGGATTAAACGTGATGGCAGGAAAAGGTCAGCAGGTTCCTGAAACTTGTAGTGAGGGGGAGCATAGGTGTGCCTGAGTCATGCTGCTGCTTTGGAGGACGTGTTCAGTGGGAAAGGAACTGGTTCTAAGATCATTTTGGAAAGCTGACCGGAGGATTGTGTTTTCAGGACTGTAAACAGAGTATCACTCTTCTTCTTCCCCCAGACTTCTGCAACTCCAGTAGCGGTTCCTCATTCCGCCCCATCAAAGCCCAGGTGACCATTCCAACGGCCCACGTTATGCCGTCCACGCTGGGCGCCTCGCCCTCCAAGCTGTGCCCTGCCGGGGACCAGGGCTGTGCGCAGCCTGCCGGGCCAGGGCTCGCCAGGAACGGGGACCTGAGCGCCGCCAAGTCGTCTCAGGTGCCCCCCCGGGAGCGGCTGCGTCTCTGCAGGGCCTCGGGGGACAGCGGCTGCGAGCACGCCCGGCCTCCCACCACCGATCGCGCCCGCGCGGAGGGAGCCTGGCAGTTCGACACCCCTGCCATCGAGCAGACCCTGAACCAGTCTCTGCTCCTGGACAGCCTGTGCCCTGAGCCTCTGCACAGGTGCCAGCAGTTCACCCCGAGCTCCGAGGCGGGGAAGGACCATTGCCAGGTGCTGCCCGAGAGCAAACAGGCGCCGGGCGCCAACGGGGCCTGCGAGCCGCGCGAGGCGCCGTGGCCCAGCGGGAGCAGGGTGCTGCCGGCGGGACTCCAGGCCAACAGTTTCTATTCCAAACCTGCGGCAGCTCCCCCGGGCCGAGCCTGGGCGCAGGAGGGCTGCACCCTGCACCCCCACCAGGGAGTCTGCCAGCTCAGTGCCTGGAAACAGCAGCTGGACAAGGTGCGGCTGCAGGTGGAGCAGATGCAGGTAGGCGGCTGCGCCTCTGTGAGTCTGAAACCCTTCCTGTCTCTGTAGTGAGGAATTGTTGTCCCAGACTAAGGAGCCAGGGGGAAAATGTCTCCTGCCTCTCCCTGAGTGACAGCAGAAGTCTCCTGAGGGTCTGTTTTTACAGCTCGTGGTGTCACAGGTATCGTTTGACGCGCTGCGGGTGCAGAGCAGCCCTGGATTATGTTACAGGGCTGCTGCACCTGCCAGATCAAGAGCTGAAATGCCCTGTCTGATAGAAACTGGGAAGAAAAAGCATGCCAAGAGGTTTTAAGCAGTGTCTAGAATGGCTTTGTTCTGTAGCTAGGGTTAAGAAAGACTTTTTTTGAAAAAAAATGCATGAAACTAGCTGCAGTTTATTAGGTGGAAACAGTTTGTTTACTACCTCCCACCAGCTGTACCCTAACGGAGACAAATTGTTTCCAGCAGGCTAGGACAGTGATCTAAAATTATTTGTTAATCTCCAGTTGTGCTTGGGCAAACTTTCTTGTTCTTGGACATCAACAGAGACTGAAATAGCCCTGCCCTGGCATGCAGATGAGCACACAGTGTGCAAAATAGCTGCAGCAGTGTTGCAATGACCCCTGTGGGGCACAGACCTCTCCCTCCTTGTTCTGTCTCCTCTTGCAGTTACAAAATGGAGGCACCTGCCCCCATTCCTCACTGTATTCCCCATCCCTGCCTGCACCTGACCCAGCCCAGTGGATCAATATCCTGAACTCCAATGAAAACCTGCTCAAGGAGAAGGAGCTCCTCATTGACAGGTGAGGCTTTGGTACTGGCACGTGATGCAAAGGGTCCAGTCCAGTTCCATTTGGAAAGGACCAAGGAAGGCTCATGTCTCAGAGTCCCTTTTGCCCAGCTGATCTTGTTCTGTTGCAAAGAACAATAAAAGGACCTTAGAGAACAATCTGAGCTCTTCTCTCCTTTTTGGAATTAGGATGATGATCTTGAAGGGCTCAAATAAATTAATTTTAGTTATGGTTTTCTGTGTTTTATAAGGGATAAAGATTTCTGTTCATGTAATGATTATCTGGAATGTCAAAATAACTGCCTCTTTTGTGTAATGACTTTGAGACCTTTACTTTAAATTTGGGGTTTGTGACTTTGGGCTGGCAAAGAACATTTCTCTTACCTAAGGCTAGTGGTGCACAAGCTTTTTGAAAAGTAAGTCCTAATGAAAACTTCAACATCTGGACTGCAAATACTTTTTCTTCCTTATTTTGAGTCATCTGTTGTCTGTTCATTCCACTCCTAAACTCCAGAGTCCAGCTGGATCCTCCAAAACATGCAAGGCTTGTGTGTTTTATCTGTAATCATGGTTAGGGGTTTTGAAGGGAGGGAAGGGAAAAAAAGTTAATAAGAATTGTAATAAAGGTTAAAGTGTTTATTTCTCTGCAGGTGAGCCCTGAGTGGCAGGGTTGTGTTTGTGCTCTGCCTGTCACTGAGTGGAGCAGCAGTGCCGCGCTGGCTCCGTCGGGGCCGCGCTGGCTCCGTCGGGGCCGCGCTGCTGCTCTCTGTGTTTGAGGACAGTGAGTTGCCTGTTTTGTTGCAGACAGAGGCAGCACATCTCCCAGCTGGAGCAGAAGGTCCGGGAGAGCGAGCTGCAGGTGCACAGCGCCCTGCTGGGCTGCCCAGCGTCCTATGGAGACATCTACATGCTGAGGATGCAGGTACAGCAGGGGCTGAATGCAATGGCCCAGGCTGCTGCTGAGGAGTTTGCTGAGCAGGACTGTGCACAGTCAGATCATAAATTATCCCTTGTGTGGGGTCACCATCACCCGAGGTTTCCTTTGGTTGGGTTAAAGCTGTGCTGGTGATGCAGCACTGCCAGGGTGTGTCAGATGGGCTGGGGGATGTCTGGGGACTGGGGAGGATGAGGACACAGCCCTGGGGCGGTTTGTGAGCCCCAGACTGAGGGGCTGTGTGTGCCTGCAGGAGCTGCAGCGGGAGAACGCCTTCCTGAGAGCACAGTTCACAGAGAAGACCGAGAGCCTCAGCAAGGAGAAGATGGAGCTGGAGAGGAAGCTGGCTGCTGCAGAGCTGGATGTGAAGCTGGCCCGGGAGTCCCTGAAGGAAACGGTGCAGAAACATGCAGAGGAGTTAAAGAAACAGGAGGAAAGGGTATGATCCTGTTGCTCTAGAGATGCTCTAGAGATGTTTTCTTGTCAGTGTAGTGCTGAGGTGAAACTTTTCTGTGGTGGTCTGTAATTACAGGTATTTTCTCATCTTGTTGTAGACTATGGTTTACAAGCAAAAGCCTTTCCTCCTGCAGTTAGAAGCATTTCCGTGCCCCCTCTTTTAACCAAAAACTTGCCTGTCTTTAGCTAAATGAGCAGAAATGAGTAAAGGGGATCTTGTATTTTGGCATTGTGTGGTGTGCAAAAAAGCTAAAGGAGTGGGCTAACATAAGACTGAAGAATAAATAAGAAATTAAATAAACTAAACTTGTCTGTAACTGTTCCTACAGGTAAAGGGAAGAGACAAACACATTAATAACCTTAAAAAGAAATGCCAGAAGGAATCTGAACAAAACAGAGAGAGACAGCAGAGAATTGAGACCCTGGAACGATACCTGGCTGATCTCCCAACCCTTGAGGACCACCAGAAACAGAGTCAGAAGGTAAAAACTTCCTCTGAGCTGCAATGCTGGCTCTTCACTTACTTGCTCAGGTGACTTTTCTGTAGTTGCATCTTACTCCCCTTTTGTTGCAGCTGAAGGAGTCTGAACTCAAGACCACTGCCCTGCAGGAAACAGTGCTGACACTGGAAACAGAGCTTGGAGATGTCCAGGCTGCTTTCAGGGAGCAAGAGCTGCAGCTGGAAACCCAAAAGCACAAGGAGAGGGAGCTCCTGTCCACTGTGCACAGGTGGGAATGAGGAATCAGCTTCATCCTGGCACTGCAGGAGTTGCTGCACGAGGAGGGTGATGCACAGCCCTGGCAGGTGGGGGACTGGGATGCAAACAGGGCAATGCTGACATTTGATATGAAATTAATTGCACTCCTCATATTGCTCCCCTCCTTAAAGTAAGGGAGGGATGGTGACTAAAGCTGTTTTTCCCCCATGGTGTTCTGCTAATTGCAGCTTGCAGGACAAGTTGCAGCAGTTTGCAAAGAGTGCAGAGAGAGGCCCCCCTGCCCAGGATGGGGAGAGGCAGAAGATGGAACATGACTCTCTGAAGAAGGAGTGTGACTGCCTCAGGAAGGTAAGGGGCTGTCCCAGTCGGGAATCGCACATTTTTCCTTTCACTGAGTCCCACCAGGCACTCAGAGGAAATCGGGGACTTCTAAGGACACACTGAAGCAGCAGTTCCTGGAATTGCAGACTGCAGGGTGCCAAAAGCTGTTCTTGATGTGATAACCACACACTTCTCCAGTACTGCTGGGGAGAAGCTGCAGAATGCAGAAGAGGGGAGAGGGAAACCACAAGAATACAGTGTCTGGTTTTAGCTGATAAATCTAATGGTGCCTTTTATCCAAGTCCACTCCTAAGAGCATCTGTGATTAGAGCAGTAAATGGACAGCACAGAGAAGGAGATGCTGTCCTACTGGAGGAGAATTCCTGGTGGTATCACTGCATCTGGGTGGCCACTTCTGATGCCTCTGCTTTTAATTCCAGATTGTGGACAAAAAGCAGAAGAAGATGGAGCAGTTATCCTTGCAAGTCAAGGTGAGAGGTGACGGGGAGGGACCTGGGACTTGAGAATATGCTGTGAAATGAGTTACTTACTGTGTTCCCATGGTGTGTTCCAGAACCTGGAAGAACAGGTGGCCCAGGAGGAGGGGACAAGCCAAGCTCTGAAAGAGGAGGCGATGAGAAGGGAAAATGCTCTGCAGCAGCTCCGGGCTGCCGTGAAAGAGGTCAGGGGGTGTTTGAATGAGCAATGGGCTGTCTCTGAGCAAGGCCCTGAATTCAGTCAGCAGCTCAGTCTCTCCTGCTAGTCAGCTGTCCTGTCAGGACTGTGAAGGGAGCCGTGCCCTGCTGGGAAGCAGGAGAAGCAGGTTGTGCCTCAGGAACTTGGTGGGGATGGGATGGAGGAGGCCGAGTTTGCCAGCTGGGGGCAGCAGAACAGGAGCCCAAGCGCAGCCCCAGGGTCAGAGCCCCCTCCCAGCCCTCTTGGCAAGGTGCAGCAGCTCCTGGAAGCTTTTACTGCTCTGGCCTGGCAGGGACAGTGCAGCCTCACTTTCCCTGTGGCAGTGACACTGGCTGCTCTGGCCACGGCCTGGGGGGCTGCATGCACCCAGCCCCTGTCCCCAGGGCTCCCATCACACAGCAGCTGCATTCAGCGTGGCAGCGCTGCCCCAGGTGCCCTCTGACGTGCCCTGTCCGTGTGTCCAGCTGTCCCTGCAGAACCAGGAGCTGATTGAGAAGAACCTGACGCTGCAGGAGCAGCTGCGGCAGGCGCAGCTGACGGCGCAGCCCCTGCCTGCTGACACAGCCCGCCTGGCCCAGGAGCTGCACGGGGAGCTGGCCAGCTGCCTGCAGGACTTGCACTCTGTCTACAGCATCGTCACCCAGAGGGCTCAGGGCAAGGACCCCAACCTCTCTCTGCTCCTGGGCATCCACTGTGAGTACGCTTCCTTTCGAGCGATGGCAGAACAAACCCTTCTGTGCTGTGGCAGAATGAAATAACTCACAGAGAGCATGCAAAGTGCTCTTTCTGGGCTTCTGAATGCTCTTTCTGTGGTTGGCTTGCTTCAAAGGTGCATGTTCTACTTAACATTCAGTTATCACAACCTCTTTTGCAAATGTGAGTTGGTTTTTCTGGCTGATTTGCAAATGTGTGCGGTCCTTGCTGAGAACTGCATGTGAAGGAACTCCTCCCTCCTCTGACCCCACAGCTGTGCAGCACCCTGTGAAGGAGAAGGACGACCTGCTGAGCCCTGACGGACTGGCCAAGAAGCTGGTGGAGGTAAAACAGCTTCACAAAGAGGTGGAGGACTTGAGGACTGCAATATCTGACAGATACGCTCAGGACATGGGAGACAACTGCATCACCCAGTAAAGAGCACTCCCAAAGTAAGACAGGGAATGAAGACTTGAAACTCTGAGGAGTCTCGTGCTCCTTCAACCCTAAACGTATTCAGCACTTTACCATCCCTCTGCTCGGGTACAGGACGTGTGACTTACCTGATCTGTGAGGAATCAGGGGGTTTGTGGCCAGAAGTGTTCAGCTGCTGACTGGGGTAATTCAGGGCTTCGGTGTCAGGCTTTGCAGTAGCTTTGATCTTGTGGAATGTGGTTTATGCTGTGTTTGCTGGAGCTGCCGTGGCCTCTGATGCTGGGAGATGGATTCTGACTTGCCTTCCAGGCATGTCAAATGCTGAACATGCAAGTGTGATGGTTAAAATGATGGCTAAAAGGAAATGTATGCCCTGGTCTTGCTGATGACCTCCCTGTGCAGGTCCTGTGGGACCAGAGGGTTGTCAGAGTGTTTGTGGGATATCTGGATTCCATGGGCAGGCAGGTGTGCCAGTTCCACTGCTGGCATTTACACTGAGGTGCTGCTGCTGCTGCCTTGGATTGATGGAGCAGGGCCTGCTCTCCTCAGGTGCTGCAGCCATTCAGCAGCCAGCACGAGCTGAGGAACAAAGCAACACTAAAAGACTCTGGAGATGCTCCCCCTGGGCACTGTTACCCCAGAAGCCTTAAGCCTTTTGTCTCCCTGGATCAGCAGTGCGAGTGGGCTGTGATTCAGACTGCAGAGGAAGTGGGTTGATGCTGAAGTGCCTTAATGAGCTGGAAGAACCCTCTGCCCCCATCTGCTCTGTGCCTAATGCATCCCCTGGCAGGTGAGGGGCTGCTCTTCCCTCTCACAGCCTTTTAGAGCCATCAAAACACTCCTGGGGAGCCCCAAGTGTCTGTGGGCCCTGCCAGAGCCCCCAAGAGCCTCTGGGGACACATCAGCTTTACTGGGAGAAAGCCATACTGGTCCTGATGTGGAGTGGGTGGCACAGGGAGCTCTTCCTGCCAGCAGTGGCCACTTGGGCTTTGTCACAGCCCTGTCCCTCCTCCCCTGCTCCTCTGCAAGTAATGGGATTTCTAAATGAGTCCCTGAGGGATCAGTTCCACTGTCCCACCACCCTCCCTAACCCCAGTGACAGCCTTACAGTACTGAGGGTGGAACTTGGGTTTTCATCTTGAGTTAACAGCAAGATGCCCAAGCTGTGACAGGGAGAAGTCCTGCTGACACTTGTGGTGTTTGGCTGCTCTTGCTTCACGTTGGGGCTGCGAGCCCTGGGTTTGGCAGAAATGCTTTTGTTATTCCTTTGTGTTACAATTTTAAGACCAAATCTGTTTTGTTCTTGGTGTTTGGCCACCATGGGGGACGGTGGCCAGGAACTGGTTGGTTTGTCCCACACAGGGAGCACACAGCCATGTCTGTCTGTCTGTCCTGCTCTCCTGGGGTGTTCTGTGTCTGTCCCCAGGCTGCTGGTGCTCTGTACTGAGCAAAACACATTGCCAGGGCTGTTTTTGAAGCCGTTTGTCCTGACTGCTCTGCTGAGTCCTGCAGGTTCTCAGGGGGGTTGAGCACCATCTCCTTCTCCCCTTTGCTTTGGGGGGTGCAGGATCTTGTCCCTGGGTGCTGTGAGGGGACAGGTGTGCCCTCTGCCCCTGCAGAGGTGATTCTGGGATGAGATTATTGTGGCTGGAACCGCCTCAGCTGCTGCCTGGAGCTGTCCCAGCGGCCGGGCTGCCCAGTCCTGTGTCCCCTCCTCATCCTCCTGCTCAGCTGTGCCCCTCTGGCCCTGTGTGCCGTCTGCTGCTGCTGCAGGGAAATCTTGGCCTACAGAACACCCCAGGCCGGGGCTCCAGGACGGTGTCCCCTCCCTGTCCCCCGTTCCTCGTGTCACCCATGTCCCCCCGCTCCCCGGTGTTGTGCCCGGTCCCGTTGGGCTCGGTGTCTTTGTCCCAGTCTCTGTCTCGGCGCTTGTTTGTATCGGGTATTTGGAGTATCAAATAAAGCTGCTCTGCCCCACTCGTGCGAGGCCGTCCTGCCTGGGGAGCGAGCGAGGGAGGGGCTGCTGCCGGGGCTGCTGCCGGTGCCTCTCCCGGTACGGGCGGTGGCTCCGCAGTGCCCGGTGGGAGCGGTGCCGGTGGCTCCCCATTGCCTGTCGGGGCGGTGTCGGTGGCTCCCGGGTGTCTGTCGGGGCGGTTCCAGTGGCTCCCCGGTCTCTGTCGGGCCGGTGCCGGCGGGGCGGTGCCGGTGTCGGTGGTTCCCGGTGCCGGCGGGGCGGTGTCGGTGGTTCCCGGTGCCGGTGTCGGCGGTTCCCGGTGCCGGCGGGGCGGTGTCCCGGGGCCGGCCCCGCCGAGGCCGCATGCCCGGTGCCGCCGGCCCCATTGGCCGCCGCAGTCACATGCCGGCCGGGCGGCGGCGGGGCTGCCGCTCCTCCCTCCCTCCCTCCCTCCCTCCATCCTCCCTCCCTCCCTCGCTGCTCCCCCGGCCGGGCTGGCGCTGGGAGCGGCCGCGATCGCACCATGAGCACCCTCAAGGTCTACAGCACGTCGGTGACCGGCTCCCGGGAGGTGAGCACCGGGCGGGGCTGCGGGCCGGGCCCGGGCTGCGCGCTCTGTCCGTGCGGCAGCCGAGCCCCCGCCCCATCCTCGCTGTCCCCTCTCCCCTGTACCGTCCCCACCTGGCCCCGGAGCCACCGCTCCGTGCTGGCTGTCCCCCCGTGCGGCCGGGGGCACCGCGCTGAGCCCGGCTGGCACACTGCGTGTGTGCCCACCCAGCCACCCTTGGCGCTCCTGTCCATCTCCCGTAACCTGCCTCTCCCACCCGGCTTCCAGATCAAATCCCAACAGAGCGAGGTAACCCGAATCCTGGACGGCAAGAACATCAAGTACGAGCTGGTGGATATCTCGCAGGACAACGCTCTCCGGGAGGAGATGAGGGCCAAGGCAGGCAACCCCAAAGCCATCCCACCCCAGATCGTCAACGGGGACCAGTACTGCGGGGTGAGGCTGTGCTCCACGCCGGGGCTGGGGCTGGGTGCTGTCCTGTCCTTGGATGTGCTGCACGTGTTCAGGATGCCCTGTAAATCATTTCTAGCGAGGTGCAGGGACCAGCACGGCTGTTTGCCTTGGGAAAAAGGGGACCCAGGCAGGGGGTTTGGGTGGCAGTGGGGCTGTGCCCGCCTTGTCCCGTCATCCTTGGCACAAACAGCTGGTGCCAGGGCTGTGAAGCAGACGGTGCCAGGGTGCCAGGGCTGTGAAGCAGATTGTGCCATGGCCTCAGGGCCCCTCCTGCCTCGGGAGTGAGCGTGTGGCGTTTCCCTGCAGGATTACGAGCTCTTCGTGGAAGCTGTGGAGCAAAACACTCTGCAGGAGTTCCTGAAGTTGGCCTGAGCCCCGCTTCCCCTCCCAGCCTGGACTCTACCTGCATTCCTGAGCGCCCTCATCTCCGACCACCCTCACCCGCAGGCTGTCAGCGCTGTCCTGGCACCACCACCTGTATCCCAGCCCAGGGAAAAACCACGACCAAAACTCCTCATTGCAGCTGCCTCCGACTCCCTCCTGCCTGACCCCGGCCTCATCCCAGAGGGATCCAAAGAAAGCGACGCTCGCTGCTTGGCCTGTGAGCAGAGCTGGGCCTGGCTCACGGCAGCTTCCAGTGCCTCTGTAAACAGCAAAGCCTCTGGGGCTGTGTGAGGTGATCCTGGCCTTCAGCCCCCTCCTCTGCCTCGCCAGGGGAGGGCTTAGGGCTGCACGGTACTTCCCACTTCTCCCAGTTGCTGTTAAAATTGTAAATTCTGCTGCCTCATTTCCTTTTTTTTTTTCGTCTTTCCCCCCCCCCCCCTTCATCTCAACTGCAGAGATTATGGCAACTAAGTAAGGGTTTTTTTGATCGTTGGGTTTTTTTTGTTTTTTTTTTTTTTGGTCTTAATTTAATGCAAAAATACTGCACAGAATTTGGGTGTGAGTGCCCACCACGGTGGGGCTGGGGCTGAAGGCTGCCTGGGGAATGGGTGGGGCTGGCAGTGGGGTCTGTGCTGCTCTGGCCGCCCTCCACCCTGAGCAGGCTCCCTGGTGAGCATTAATGGCTCGGGGCTGCCCCAGAACAGCTGATGCTCCAGCTGTCCCATCTTTCCTCTTTGTGTTGGCTTGTTTGCAATCCTGGACCAAGTGCATTTTGTTTTCCTGCCAAAAAGCAAGTTTATAACCAGTGTTGTCTTCCGAGATGCTATTAAATGTTACTGTACCTTTCACAGCGCTGCTCTTGCCTTTCCTTTAAATTGGGTTTTATTTTGGCTACAGGTTAAACATCACCCTACCTAAGGATCATGAGTCATTTCCAGCTGAGTGGGTTGTACCTGCTGCTGCAGCCTGACACAAAGATCTTAACACCTTAGCTTGCTGCTGCTAATCAGAGGCTCCCAGGATGTGTGTGAATGTCCTACGGCGCAGCAGGGACAGGTACCAGAGCATTCCTCCCCTCTGCCCGGGGCAGGGACAGCCTCAGCCGGATGTGGCAGTGAAAAACAAACCTTTGGCACGAAGATTGCCTAGAGCAGGACACAGAGGGGCGGGGGAAACAGCTGCTCCTGAATCTGCTGCAGGTGGGAGAGGAGGAAGCTGAGGGAGAGCTGGGTGGGTTGAGTCAGTGCTCACGGGGAGCTGGGGACGCTGCTGGTTTGCTTCCTGCGTTTGAGTTGTGCAGCTCTGCTCAGAGGGCTCTGGGAAGAGCTCTGGCCTTCCAACCGTGCCTTTGAAAGCTGAAGGAAGTGGAAATTGCAGTGGAATAAAGGGTTTTATTGGGAGCCTTCACTGAGGGCTGGGTCTGTGTGAAGAGGGAACCTGCCAGAAGGCCCTGCCCCGCGTGAGTGGGAGTGCTGTCAGCTGGGAGTCAAGTGAGAGCTTGTCACAGCTGGAATGGGAAGAATGTGCTGGGGAAAGGGAAAGGGAAAAGCGCAGCCCCAGCCCACGGGCCGGGGAGGAAGATGCTTTGTTCAGGGCTGGGCAGAGGGGGGTTTGCTGCTCTCGGTGACACGGTGTCCTGTTGCAGCACCAGGAGGAGGAGGAGGAGGAGGGCGGGTGTCTGCAGGCAGGCTGGAGCCTGGGCCCCGCTGCAGCTGGGGGCTGTCCAAGGGAAGGAGCTGTGCACGTACAGGAAGCCCAGCAGCAGCAGGAGCTCCCAGCTGAGCCTGGCTCAGCCCCAGCCAGCCAATAACTCAAGGCCTTCAGGTTTA